TACCTTATGCGGCATGCGGACGGGAAGGAAGCATTGCATACCGGTGACTCCACCTTGCACGCGGTAGCACGTGCTCTGCTACCGAGGGCAGGAGATGTCGGCCGTCAAGGCGGTGGAGTGGGAATCGCCCTTCAGAATTGGTTCCTCGAGACGTGGCTTTACTTCGTCCTGATGAGTATTGCATATGGCGTCATCTTCGGAACTCTGATCAGATATGCTTTGAAGTTCTCGGTCAAGAGGTGCGCACAATTCAGATGCAAGGGGGTGTTAAAGTCTCAACTGCGACTAACAAGATACCAGGAAGTGGATCGATTCCGAGAGCTATGTCCTCGTTCCGACTGCCATTGGCGTGCGTATCACCCCGAAACCTGAAAGCGAGTAGATCTAACAGTGTTGTAGCTTTTCATGATGGGAACCTCCGGAGCTATCGGTACCGACGACCTTCTTTCCTGCTTCGTCGCCGGCAGCGCCCTTAACTGGGATGGAGAGTTCCTAGCTGAAGCGCAAAAGAGACACGACGAGGTCAACGCCAGTATCGACGTTTTGCTCAACTTCGGTGGCTTCATGTACCTTGGCACCATCATCCCATGGAGCGAGTTCAACTCCGATATTACCGGGATCAGCCCCGGTCGGCTCTTCGGCCTGGGCGCTCTTGTCCTCCTGTTCCGTCGGATCCCCGCAGTTCTGATGACCTACAAGCTGATGCCGAACACCATCAAAGATTGGAAGGAGGCCTTCTTTATGGGCTATTTTGGTCCAATCGGTGTTGGTGCTGCTTTCTACGTCGAGCACGCCCGCCATCTTTTCCCCAAGCTGGCGGAAGCAGAAGCGGTTGGCGATAACGAGGTCGTTGACGTGCTCCGCGCTATGGGTCCTGTCGTCTACTGGCTGGCGCTGTTTTCCATCGTCGTCCACGGCCTCTCTATTCCCATCCTCAGCGCCATCTACAGCTACATGGGCGTCAAGCCGATCCAAGAGGACGCCGTCCAGCTTCGCCGCCGCTCCGTCCGTGTTCCGCCACCCGCAAACGCTGTCGAAGGCGACAGAGACACCTTCATCGCCTTCAACAGATTCTCGCGACCGAACCTTTCCACTGAGTCGCTCAGCCATGTGGGTGATGATGACTCGATCGCTGACGAGAAGGTCCGATATCCGGACCTCGAATCGGGACTTCAGGAGGCCAAGCAGAATGCCCAGATGTCCCCTCGAAGGAGCTTCAACATACCGAGGCTTACTGCGCCTCCAAGCTTAAGTCGTCCCCGGACCAGCACCAGTCAGGTGCAGTGGGATCAACCTCACGTCACCCGCGACTGATGAATTACCGTGACCGTGGAAGAGCAAAGCTGGAAGAAAGATATGAGGAGCATTTCGCGGAGCAGGACATCTTCGTCACGCGATCTATGAGATAAAGAAGATGATGAGTAGGAGATGGGAAGTTCAGTTTGCTTCTCCATACTGGACTCATATACATACGAATTGGCCGCTATTGCTGTCTTGACGACTCGGTCTGGTGAGGGCAAGACTTCTGAGCGCTTGCGATTACAATTGAGGACCGGTGAAGGATATCGGCGGGGGCGCAATTCCATGTGGGACTGCTTATGAAGCTGTACATGCCGAGATATTAGATTGCAAGTAGTGGTCCGAAAGAAACACAAAGTACGCTGTCCAAATATTTGTATTCACCTATGCTGGTCCGCATTGTCGTGAAGTCGTGTGAGATTCAACCGGGAAAAAAACGAGGGTTGAACACACTGGAAGACCAAGAAACCTGGGGCATAAGAGGTCTGGGAAAATCATTGGTGTCAGTGGAGTTAGTCCCGGGCTATTGTAATAATGCGAGGAAGTCTGCGACACCAGCGCCTCCCACCGGGTGGTGACTGCGGCGGAGCTCCGCTGCGACTCATGACATGAACATGCTAGCTAGTGCAGCGGCAACATGGGCACTAGTTGCGGGAACTATTCCTCATTTAATTTAGGGGCGGAAAGCGTCTTCAAGCACAACTTGATCCTGCTTCTATTCAAGCACCTGCTTGCAGACGTACTTCATAGAGTGCCGTTGAACCAAGGGTCCTGAGCGGGGAGGGTTATCCCTGCAGCTAATGTGGGTTCTCCCACCCGCAAAGCCCCCGCGTCTCCGACACTTTGATAAAAGATCCGTCCGTGGCAGTCAGTAGACGCGTAGATCATATGCGGCCCCGGGTTGCGATCCAAGTCCGTGAAGACAACGCTGGCATATTTTTCTCCGTTTCAACTATGAAGCTACCTAGGGTAAGGTAGCTCATGAACTGGCTGACGTTCAAGAGTGGTGAACTATAAAGCTCTTGAAATCGAGACATGAGTCTGGAGAAGTCTTGTTGCAGTTTTCCGACAATATTTTGACCCAAACTTTTATCAGTAAACATGCCTGAGTGTGGTTCAATCGTGGACGGGGTCGTGCGATACCCTCTTTCTGGAATCAACGTTGTCATTGTTGGTGCAGGCTTAGGTGGCTTACAGGCAGCCGTCGAATGTTGGAGAAAGGGTCATGAGGTTCAAGTACTTGAAAAGGGGGAGGCCATCTCCGAGGCTGGTGCGCGTGCAATTTGTCTACGATTATATTCTAGTTTTCGACTGACGTCTTTTGCCTAGGCGATGTTATCAGACTCGGCCCAAACAGTTACGCCACCTTGAAGGAGTACCCCACGATGCTTCAGGAATGGGACCACTTTGCTTTCGACGTCGAAACATGTTTCTGCTATCGCGATGGGAAGTTCGCCATCCCAAAGGCCGAGTTCGAGCACCACCTCCCAGCAGTTGCCACGCATGTCATCTGGCCCATTCGAGCCAAGCCGATAGCGAGTCGGAGAGATCTTGCCTTGATGTTCTTGGGTCAGTGCAAGCGGCTGGGAATCCCCGTGACCTACAATGTCAACATCACACAGTACTCCGAGGATGGCAAGGGAACTGCTACGGCCCATGCCGAAGACGGTCGCACTTTCACTGGCGACGTTTTGATAGCGGCGGATGGCATCGGCTCTAAGAGTTGCGGTGTAGCGCTGGGCAAACCGGTTCGCGCAGTTAGCACGGGATATTGCGCCGATCGTGTCATGTACTCGACCGACCACATCAAAAACGCTCCCGCCTTGCAGAAAGCAATTGCTGAGCTTGAACGACCGCAGCTGCGCATGTATACCGCGTACGTCTTCTAGATGGTCCTGGTACCGCGGGTTTCACTGACAGAAGTCTAGTCCTGACATGTACATCGTGTTCCTCTTATCAAAGACTCATATTTTCCTGGGTATCACGCACAAGGTATGCGTTTCTCGCCACCTTGTAACTCAGGCTAATGTAAGATCCACAGGATGATGGCACCGCCGTAGAGTCCTGGTCATCGACCGTGACCCCTGAGCAAACCGCGGATGTCATGCCCGATAAGGAGAGCTGGGATCCAGTCCTCATGGAAGCGATTCACAGTACCCCGCCGAATACTGTTGTGCGATGGAAGCTGTGCTGCCGTAACCCCCAACCCAAGTGGCACTCCGATGGCGGTCACATCATTCAAGTTGGTGATGCAGCGCACAGCTTCATCCCATCATCCGGGAACGGGGCGTCCATGGCACTCGAAGATGCCATGTCACTTCCCGAGTGCTTGAGGCTGGGGGGCAAAGATCGCATCGCGCTGGCTGTTCGCGTTCATCAGCTTCTCAGGTAAGTTGAAAGGTTTGTGCATTGCATCCAGCATGGCTTCTAATCGCTGCAACGTAGATATGAGCGTACGTCACTGCTGCAACACAATGGCTTCGTGAACAGGCGTCAGGTTCACCGCGACATGAACGAGATTCTCAAGGATGAAAGACAGCCTATGCTGCTCGGCAAGTGGGTATGGACACATCATGCCGAGAAATATGTCACCGAGAACTTCGAAAACGCTTGCTTGGCAGTTGAGGGCGGCAAACCGTTCAAGAATACCAATCTACCAGTAGGTCATCAGGTGCAGCCCTGGAGTATTGAGGAAGAGGAAGAGAAAGAGAAATCCGGGATCTTTGTTGAGGATTTGAAGAATACGGGCGACTGGGGCTTGATCTGAGGGACGGACATTTGATAGCGTCGATACTAGCGTCTTGCGGAATCTCTATGAACGTAGGAAGAGACAAAGGTGCAGATGAAGGTGAAATCCAATTTGGCTAGAATTAGTGTACATTTGACTTGATTCCTTCCTACTACGTGAGGCTTCCTATCATCCACCGTGCCGCATTGCCTTTGGGAAGATAGTTCCGCCTAGTTATCAACCAGACTATTTATCTACTTGAGTTGCAAAATGTACAAAATACCGACGCTAGCTCTTCGAAAATCCCACGATGGAAATGTCAGTCGCGTCATAATCGAAACTGGCAACACAAATAATCCAGCCTTACATCTTGTATGCTGTATCAACTACCGATATTTAAGCTCAGAATTCGCTCAGCCCCTTCTCACAGGGCTTGCGTTGGCCACCCCTCTCGGGGAGTGGTGGGGGTGGGGGTGGGGAGTGCAGTTCTCTTATTGTTTATATATCCTCCGTGTACGGGTGGAGCAACTTATTAGCTCAACAAGTTGACACTCACCACTCATGATACGATATGCGTGTTTTGTCTAGAGTAGGACCACGGCCGATGCCGAATGCCCCTTGCGCCTGCCCCACTGATAGCCGGTGGGATCGAAAAAGTGCCGGTCGATTCGCAGTCATTGTGGAGGTTCTTCAAGGCCGGGAGTGTCTCAACCTTGGCACGGGGACTTGAACCAGTCCGTTTCCGCAATCGGAATCCCATCTCGCCCGCCTGTTGGGCTTCGAAATGCATAATACCACTAGCTGAAGTGTCAAACCTGCTAAAATGTCGCTCTCAGTACCTATTCCCTCTCCAGTCTTCTTTTTTTTGCATCATTGCATCATCTTACAATCACTGAGCAGATTCAAACGCTTCGCGATGCCTTTTCGAGTTGTTATCGTTGGTGGTAGTGTGGCTGGCCTTGCGCTAGCCAACATGCTTGAGAAATTCGACATCGACTACGTAGTGTTGGAGGCTTACCCCGACATCGCACCTCAAGTCGGCGCCAGTATTGGTCTGTTGCCAAACGGTCTCCGAATCCTGGACCAGCTTGGCTGTTACGAAGCGTATCGAGCAAAGGCTGAGGATCAAGTCTACCAACAAGCGTACCTGAGAGAGGCCTCAGGCAAGGCGTATGGCTATCAACACGATCTCATGGAAATGTGGGAGAAGATGTGAGTTGTATCGTTGTGTTGACGATTCATAGTTGAGGCTGATTCGAAGACAGGCTCGGGTATCCGATGATATTCATCGACAGACAGATGCTCATCCAGGTTCTCTACTCTAACCTGAAGCACAAAGAAAGAGTTCTCACCTCCAAGCGAGCCGTTTCTGTCGATATCATGGAATCCTCTGCCCGGGTTACAACGGAGGATGGCCAAGTCTTCAGTGGTGACATCGTCGTGGGAGCCGATGGCATCCACAGCACTGTGAGGAAGGAGATGTGGCGCAATGCTCCTCCTGGCTGCTTCCCCCATGACGAATACTCTAAAGTCCCTGCTACAACTCTTTGCATTTTTGGAATCTCCCATCGACCCGAGGCCTACCCCGCAGCTAGCCAGCATAACACCCTTTCCGAGGGTCACAGCTACTTTCTCATGGCGGCTCCCGGCAACCGAGTGTACTGGTTCCTGTTCATGGAGTTGAAAGAGACGCTTTATGGAGAAAATATTCCCAGGTGGGTACAACGGAGACTTTTCTCATATATTCGTTCACATGCAATTGCTGATCTCAATGTTGGACAGGTATACTAAAGACGATGAGGCAAGAATTGTGGAACAACACGCGAACGACCGTATCCTGGAGAACATGACCTTCGGAGAATTGTACGAGAAGCGCATCGTAACTACTTTGGCGCCACTCCAAACTTATGTGTTTGAGAAGTGGCACTACAAGAGACTTGTGACCATCGGAGATTCTGCTCATAAGGTAAGCCGCCTGGAACTCAAGTTCCTACGCGATGCAATCGCTACCAGCATCTGCGCTAACAACAGTGTCTTTGGTAGGTTGATCCTGTAACAGGTCAGGGTGGAAACGGCGCCATTGAGTCAGGGGCACTTCTAGTTAACGCTCTGCTCCGAGAGTTTGACTCGAGTCCCGACGGGCTCGGCGAGAAACAAATAGAAGACGTGCTTGCAGAGGTCCATACCATCAGATTTGTGAGTACCTCATACGGCACACCGACCCTATCACTGATGCTAACCACACATTGCACGAGCAGGAACGGGCTCAAGATGTTGTCCAGCAAGGTTACTGGCTCCAGAACGCCTTTACTCAACGATCAACGATGGGAAAAGTCATTGCGCGATACTTCATGCCAGCTCTTGGGTCTTTCGGTGTCCTTTACAGAGGTGTGGAATTTTGCTCTCCGGCGACCAGCTTGCATAGGCTTGAGATTCCTCGGCGTCCTCGGGCTGTCCCGTTCGAAGACGAGCTGCCCGCCAGACCAATTAAGAATATGAGCAAGATCAATAAGCTGGCATCTATCGCTGCCACCACGCTTCTTTGTGCCTTGGCTGCTGGCCTGATACGCTTGCCTAAAAGCCTTGAGTTGGCTATTGACGCTTTATGCTCAATGGATGTCGCGAATGCGTCAATGTTACCGGCCGTGACGTTTCTCGTCAACACAGCCTCACTTCTGGCGATGGCGTTAGTTGAATCTAACCGAGTTGGTAACAGAATTACTTCTTGGGCCCAGTAAGTTTCTCATTACCGACAGACTCCACAGACCTTCCCTGAGAGCCACGCTGACTAGTAACAAAGGATCGTCACCTTCGCTGTTGTCAACAACTTCCTCGGGCCAGGCGCAATAGGACCACTAGCTGCGCTGTTCGCCCACTGGTCTTGTGGTCTCATTGTCGGAAGACATGTGCCGGTTGCGGCAGCAAAGATGGTACTGCCAATCGTCACAGTCGGATACGTCCTTCCAGCTGCGATCGCTATGCTTAGAATGGACTCAAGCTCGATCACTATCTGGAGAAATGCTCCAATCATCTGCTTCATGCTGGCAAGAAGTCTCTCAGCCCTTGGAAACTCTTCGTCACCTGCTGGTGTCGATGACGAGAAGTTCAAGCTCAGGGTTGAAAGGGCAAGAACACATAACATGTTTGCAAAGGCAGATTTGCCATATATCCGAGTCATTCACTGCTCCGCCCTTGTTGTATCTGCGACTATTCACATCATCAACGTCCTGCGCCATGGTGCTGGGCTAAGCCTGGTATTGGGGGGAAACAACGCATTTCTGGTGGGATTGGGGTTTTCCAAATACGAAGGCTTAGCCTTTACAGTTTCCTCACTACTTCTCGCCCTTGGAGCTGCACCTTTGAGTTTGCGCTTGTGTGGATACATCACCACAGTCCAGTCATTGGTGTCTGCATTGGTAATCTGCCTTGGTTTGTTCGTTGTGGGTCCAACAGCCACGGTGGCAGGCATGGCTTGTTATCGGGAGAGTGTTTTGGCTAGTTTTGGGCAGTGACAACGTCGGCACTAAATTCATCGGACATACCCGAGGCTTGGGAAGCTCACAGCTCATTTTGGTCTTCATCATGACTAGGTACCGTCGAGCAGCTATCTATTGCTTACAATGAGGAATAGCCTTTTTAAAAACTGCTGGATTCTTTCTGAAAAGATCAGCCAAGCAAAGGCCTTTTTCATAGACGCTATCTTCATCGCGGTTATTCCAACAGAGGTTGGTTTTCATCATGGCATGATGCCCGAATTTCCATACACACCTACATACCTAATGAAAAGAAGATTCAACGCCATAGCCTAGTGGGAAAAGTGAGACCAAAGCACATTAAACACGGGTTAGGCTATGAGAGTATACCTTAGCGAGCGTTGTTCACCATACTGTACAGCTCGGATGTGAAATTGAATCAAGATTTAGTGTCTAAATTGTCAAACTGTATCATGGAATTATCCGTCTGAACAAGTGGGCGTAGAAGTTCCGAAGTCAATTTGCACAACTTATCACTCAGAGAGCAGAACGCATCAGGTTCGAATCCAGATCGATGCTGCGGCCGGTAGACCTTTGAAGCACTGGCACCCAACCAAGGCTAGCTTTAGCTACGTACCAGTAAGTCAAAATAATAGGAACACGTCAGATACAATACAACAGTCATGAATTTCAAATCCCATACACGGGAAAAAAACGTGCATTGCCTCAAATGAAAACCAAAACCCGACACCGGCCGCGCAGTTTCAACAAGCAATCATGCCGGCACCCAACCAAAAATATGGAGTACACAACACTCTGGCCTTTGTTCTTGAAACCCCTCGTTCGTCTGGTTCTATCATTTTGACACTTGCAACGCACAATCGTCTTGACATGATTGCAACAACAATCTAGGTTATGACCGGTGAAGCGCGGTTACCTACGTACCATCATATTTCCTTCATGGCTATGGTTCATCTTGTTCTAACATGCCGCTGGATGTAGCACACAGACTATCCTGACTTGAAGACCCCCTGAGAACCTTCCATCCCCTTCACACACTAGCTTCAGTTCGAAGGATTTGAGGGTCGATTTTCTTAGGAGTTGTGATCTTGAACACATTATTTCGTAACTGGTTCCTTAGCACATGTAGGTATTCGTCTTTTACGGGAACTACCCACCTGTATGCGGTATTGTCCTTGCCCACATAGCTTTTCCAAGACTGTCGACAGTTCAAGGGTGTCGCGGACATAGCGAGAGTGAATCTCTTGGGTCGAAAGACCGCCGGGAGCGTCACCTTGTCCAGACTCTGCTGTCAGTCTGGCCCCGTCCCCTAATGACATAGTCGCGCGAGGTTTAAGAGGTCAATTATCCTCTGCAAAGGTAATGGGTGCTGGGAATCATGACTGGACCGGAAAACAGGTGAGAGATCTGTGCGACGAAAGGTTTGTCGAGCTTATGTATATATGTTGCACAATCGATTGTAGATACTTTGGCCCTGTTGTCGTCCTTGTACCCAAAAGGCTGTAATGACATTTCCGAGACCAGAGTTTTAGTGTCAGCCAATGCATTCCGTCTATTTGCACTGGTGACCACAACATGGAACGCCGTCGCCTGAGAACGATAAGCGCCACACACTCGAGTGTGGAGTGACTATTGATCATGTTTCAGCCACAAATTCCTGCGCGGACAGACGCGCAGCTGATTTGCACTCATGACGTGACACACCTGTTACCGGTGAACATGTCTTTGGCATATCTGGAAGTAACTGCGGTTTGTGTGGTGGCGGGAACTCGTGTCTCAATGGCCATACTGGCCTCTCAACCTCTCTGGAAGTAGATTCGAATGAGCAAATAGGACGCATGCATCACGTCCACACCTTTCTGTCCTTGAGACAACGTGCTACCTGCTCACATCAGCGTTTCGACGCAAGCGATGCGCAAATATCGCTTTACAGAATATGGCTCCGCGAGCAACCACGAGTATGCGACCAAGCTTCGGGAGGCGCGGAGTGAAAAGTGATGAGATGACACGCGTATTCTATACGAACGAACGATCGGTCTCCGTAGTTGAGACCAGGTATTATATTACGCGGAATCCGTCACCATTGCCACCTGCTCGAGGCGTCCTGTCGGGCTTCCTGAGAAGAACGAATTAGAAATGTGAGCGCTTTCAGCTGCCACTGCTGTCTCAGCCTCAAATGCCAGCACTCAATAACGGCGTTGACGTGATTCCGTCCCTTGCCTGACACCCTGAGCTATGTGTCGTAATGTCAAGGAAACAAGATGGCGACAGGTCAAGGGCTAGGATGATTTGAGCCATCACGGACAGTGGATGGCGCGTTTTAGAGCTGAAGTATGCTTCATTAAAGCCACTTAGAATAACCATGCCGTTACTTCCATATACACGTTTACGAAGAGCGCCATACCAAACCGTGCCCAACAGCCCTTCATTTGTTGTGCCCACAATCAGCTCCCGCCAATGTACCCAGCCTGAGGCCATGCCACAGCCATCGGCAAGTTGACAATACACTCCCTTCGAAGCCATTAGGCGGTATTTCTCATGTTGGCTTGGAATTTGCAATCAGCCGCTCGTAGGCAGCTGTTCCGTGGCTGCGTCACCAATCCCACACTCATCGCAACATAAGTGTGAACGATACGGAAAATATCAAAACATGCGGGGCACTATTTATCGACGTCAACGTCTTTCAACCTACCAAAGCCCTGTGAGTGATGTTGCATTTCTCAGTATTTCTCAAGAATTCTGATAAATTACTATGTCTACTTCAATTTGACGCAGTATTCGTATTGCACACTGTATTGAGCATCATAGCCTAGCAGATGTGCCCCCATCTCCAAGTCTGTAGATATCTTGATGAGCATACCACTGTCGGAATCGCACAGCGAGCCTCGATCAATGCCCTCTTATTCCTCCGAGACGTTCAAGTATTTCGCGCCTCCCTGTGGAGACGAGCTAACAAGACGAAGAAAGGCGACTGATGCCGTCGAGCCAAGAAGATAATTTCAGTACTCCCTTCCATAGCCTGCTCGCCGTGGACAGGGATGAAGGCTTGCTTTTTTTACTTGAATACTCGCTAAGACAGTGGTATTTCCTTAGAAGAAACATTGCATTCTGCGCTTGCTCAACCACTCAAGGTACGGGCGTGAACAGTGAGCATCCCATCGCTCACTGTTCCAACATCTCTCGCATCAGATGTGGGGGCAGTCAGGCAAGGGAATCCCTCAAATCATGTTCAACCCCCGAGACGACGCAGATTCGACGTGCGATCATGTGAATGCTTGTCATTGACAATCTGGTAGCAAAGGTCCGTTGCTTCTTTTGTTCAGCCATCTGAGTTGAGGTTGCGTGCATCCCGAATTTTGACGGATCTAAACGAAAATTAAGATCAAGCCGGAGATGCCTTCTGCCCCTGTGGACGGTCCGACTGTGAGGCCTGGTAGTCCTATCCTGGAGACCATCACGCCCCCAGTCCCACAGAAGACTGGACCCGATCACCCTACCATAACTCTGACAAGTCCCGACGAGGCCAATAACGCTCTGTCTAACACTTCCAATATCGATCCATTATCTCAAGGTCCGTACTGTTTACCCTAATGCTGGGAACTTGAGAACTATAGGCTAAGATCCTGTTTAGGTGACGGACAGATCTTGGATCATCCTCTGCCGCCACAAGAAGCCACTCATGGCTCCAGTGTGTTGCAAAAAGCTCTTCGGGCACAGCGATGCTTGTCATATAAGAGTAGAAAGCGCTTCGTGCCATTAGATGTCATGAGATCACTTCTTACCACAGACAGGGTGATGGAAGAGCTCCAGCAACATGCTCACATTAAAGACCATGCGGCACTGCCACGAGTATGCAGGGCTGTATGCGCAGACCCCGCGGTCGGGGAAGATGGAGCCACAATGTCTCGGAAAGGAAGGATGTCAAAACTCTTCGCCATATTGCTTCTGGTAGAGAAGTCCGACGCGATATTGTCCTTTTGGATGGAAGGCCTTCACGATGGTAATTTACCTTTCCGATTGGACCTTCATGGTGATCGTGGACGATTCTATCACGGTGGTACAGCCATTGAGGCGTTCTCCAGCTGGGGGGACAAGGACATCGAGACGTTTGACAATTACCAGTGGTCTGTCATGTCGCCGTTTTTCTCAACTCCGTCAGAAAACAACATCGACAAGGTGTTCCATTATGATTTGGAGAAGGAAATAATTCTTCCTTTCGTCTCTTTCGATGAGGCTGCGTCGCGGACTGTTGAACAGGGCAACTGTAGTACAGTATTCCAAGTTAAGATCCACAAGGCGCATCACCAGTTTGATTATGCTGTTGTAAGTTATTTCTCATTGGACGGACATTTAATACAAACGTGTGATAACCACGGACACTATAGGGTCAGGATTTCTTTTTTGCTGTGAAGAAACTCGACTCTTCCGACGAAAGCTCCTTTCATGCCGAGGTGGACACTTTGAAGAGATTCAGTCGTACACCCCAAGAGCATCTCATACAACTTCTGGCAACCTATAAACACTGGGATCAGTATTTCCTCATTTTTCATTTTGCCGATCGTAACTTGCGCGGACTTTGGAAAGAAATCAGGGAGCCAGAACCCAATCGTAAACTTTCGCTGTGGATAGCAGAACAGTGCCATGGCCTTGCGGTGGGCCTGAACAGTATTCATGATTATCAATCTCATCAAATATTAGGGTCACATCTCGACAGGCCAAATTCACCATCGCAGGAAACACCCTACGGAAGACACAGCGACATTAAGCCAGAGAATATTCTATGGTTTAAGCATGAAGAGACATCACCTTATAATGTGTCTGGTATCTTGAAGATATCCGACTTCGGGTTCGCCAAATTCAGCAGCAAGG